GGTACAGGTGGCTCAAGCCAGACAGTACCGGGTCCAACGGAGCTCTCGGCCACCACACATACTGCAAAGGCTAACCAAACGACTGCAACGTGATCGAGTAGCAGCAAGACAGCTACGAACAGCCCGCTCTCAACGTGAGTTCGACAACACGTCCGAATACTACAGCGACCACTTTTAGATAAATGACTTGGACATTAGTGGCCGCGTGGGTGCGACAGACGTTTATTCGACCACCTCAACCACGTTAATCACCCTGTAAACCGGCTTGCGTATCATACAAACACTCAAATAATACATATGCATTACGACAGTATAGTTGATGTCCGGGTCGTTTTGGTAGCCCGGGTCACCGCCAACTGTTTCAATTAACGGTGTTGGATTATTGAAGTCTCCCTTTTAAGTTTTCTAATAATAGTTGAGATGATAAAAGAAACTGTCAATTCGAGGCCGTGCAACTAGCCTCTCATACTAGCCGCTGTATCTTTGGGTCAAATGCACCCCGAATAGAAATTGTGGCAGTTCTGAAAAGCGCACGGACTCCGCTTGATTGACCTATCGATTTTGCTTCTCAACCAATGGCTTGTTGTAGAGGCGTCATCTGCTGCGACCATTGAAAATACCGTGATGCCAATTGGAGGCCGCAATTTGACTTGAGCTCAATATTCTGGTCGAGGTGGAGTGGCTCAGACGTCGCCAGGGGTAGTCCAATCAGCAAATAGTATATGTGTTAGATTTGCAAACATCCGATGGGTTGTTAGCTTACGCACCTGTAGTGACTTTCAAGAGCCCATTAAACAAACGCACACAGACTGACAGCCGCCGCTAAGAAGTGCGCGTGGGGCGCCGCTCTCCGTCGAGTCTCAAGTTTATCAAGGCCAACATAAGCACGATACACAGCTATCCAACCCTCTTGGCTCGAAGTTCCCGCCCTCGCTGAACGTCAACGTTCCTCGTCTGAAGTAAAAACACCCGACAGGGCGGAGGCCATGGTGCAGAATTTGGTAGTGCGCCCTTAGATTTAGCTACAGCTGAAGGTCAGCATTGCTAATACGTAAAATGTTTATTGTGTTAGCCTGTAGCATGTATACGCACTACTGCTACTAGTGACGATTACTGTTTTAAACTAGCGCCGACTGAATGATATCACTTGCGGCCAGCTCATTGGGAAAGTCAGGCTTTGCTTTCTTCCGTGAAGTCGCCCTTGTCCGCTACTTCGAACTCGCAATGGTACTGCTTCGATCAGCTTCAATACCCTGTAAGGTCTCGTGTGCTAATAGTCTGTCACCCGCGGTAACGCGCTTACGTTTCTTGTTGACGTTTTTTATAGGTGGGCGATGGCAACTTCAGCACCTCTCCTTTCGACAATCGTTTTCATTTCTAGCTATGTAGCTAGCCGTAGGTGAAGGGGTACTCTATTGCACTAGAACTTATTTAAGCGTGGATGTTATCTTGTCCCAGCGACACCGCAAATAATTGACAGGACGCGAAACCTCTCTCAGCGTTTTGGCCTATACGGGACGCTCCCCACGTTATGCTGGCAACCTTAATTGCTCCAGCCTTCATGATAGTGTAGAAGGCATTGTCATATTCCTCAACGAGCCCCCCCCCCAATAAGTGCTCTGATCTTGCTATTTGATGTAGCGAGTACTGCGACGTCTAGCGCTTGCAGGAGATGTGTGCTGTTGCGATACAGTAAGACAAACATGATGCGCAGATGAGCTTCGGCATCAGCCACTTTAGCCGAGTAGTGGGATGCGCAGCCATTCAGAACCAGCACAAGAGGACGCTTCACAAACGGAGGCACCGTGTCAGCAAAATATAACATTTCTCATAGAGATCTGAGTTCACAAATCCTGAGGGCGACGTTGACACAGCTGCCTTTCCAACGTCGCAGGTCGCCAGTAGTCGAGACGATATAGATTTACCAGAGATGATAAATGCGGGAGGCACTACGAAGCCATTTGCACTTGCACAGGCCATGATAGTGAGATGAATATTGGCAGTAGCTTCGTCACTCTACACGTTGCTCGATGCCCTAACAGCGACTACTTGTTTTGCTTTTAAGCTGCTTCTGGAAAGTCGTTTCATCCATATTAAAAACACTATCCTTGTTCCTGATCTCTTCGTCAGAGATGGGCTCAGCGAGATCTCGAAGTCGTCAAACACACCAATATTCTCGGTGTCAAGATTCTTTGCGTTGAAGAATATAAAAACCAGCTTTTCAACGCGCCCTTTTTGACACGATTGCACACGGAGAAATGGATGAGCTTGTGGGTCGAAAAGATGCGTTCTCCAGCTGCTCTGGAGCAGGACGTAGCGAAACCTTGCATCGACACCTTTATTAGCAAGGGAAACCTTCTCAGATTACCCGAATACTCTGTTATAGTAAGGCGCTTGTCCTTCACCAGCTTGCGTTCCCGAGTTTCTTTTTGAAGGACCGCGTCAACTCCACGGTCGCTGCGCTCCCGTGTTCTGGCCCGTTTTAGTTGGCAGCAAAGTCTATGATGCTGATCTTGGTGTCGTCATCCATTCCTTCCCCGCCTTAACGGGGTCGAGCAGATACGACACACCATTTGCGTCGCTGTAAATGAAGTCGAACCGATCATTCAAAATGCCGCCGATAATTCTTAACTCCGAGATAGTCATCTACATCTCCGCGTACGTCTATGAGATCATATAGACATTCGATATGATGCAGGCTCCGCGCTCGAAAACCGCTGTACTGCAGACAACACGCTCAGCAGACTGATCGCCTTTTTCAGCTGAAAAAATGTCACCGACACGTCCTTTACCACACCGCGTTTCGCTTTCTGCTTCTTGGATTTTGCTTTAAAAAATTCTCGCAAACTGACCATCAAAAGAAACAGGCTTTCTATTTCAAGAACATACACGAAACACTTTTCAATCGAGCCCCATCTGGCATCACGAGGCATTCTTGCCTTCAAGTTTTTTTGCAGTCGGCGGAGTTTAGCCCACAGCAGCAGGTGCCTTTTAAAGAGCTTTACCATCTTGCGGCAGTGGGCCTGCAGATTTCCTAATCACTTGAGTTTAGTAAGCATGTCCTTCACAGCGATATGGATCACGTGAGAAATGAAGCCGTGATAAAACGATACGGATACTTTTTCTGTAGCCTTGCCTGTTGGTCGCTGTATTGGCAGTAGCAGCGACAGCAATAGTCGTAGATCCCACGGATTTGATTACACGTTTGACAACAGCCGCCATAAAGGCAGCATCGTGGGAAGTGCTTCATAAACACACTCTGAAATATATTGCTCCCCCTCACATTGCAGCACGTACTTGATTACGCGTTTGCCGTTGATGTCCGTCCAGCCATCAGTGTTGAGCGTGTACTTCGTGCCTTTAAGCTTGTGCAACATCATCATCTTGAAGTTAAAGTAGCCCATGTAGAGCAGAGTAATCGCTAGCTCGTACGGAAAAAGGGTCACCTGCCTGGGTGCGGATCTGTAGGGCTAGCTGCAGCGTGGGATGCGACTCCTTGTGGAACGCCATTCCAGTAGATTAGAACCACAGCGCAAACGGCTTATTTAAACGAGTTATATTTGAAGGGCTTAAAGCAGCTGGAAAGCACGATGATGTCGCCTTGGTTTTTAACCGCTTGGTGCACTTATTTGGCAAGTAATGACGAACATTCTCGACGTGCGAATCACCCAGGTGGTGAATAATTCGCTTGCTTCTCTTGCAGCGGACGTTTATCATCTGCAACAATAACCTCGTCCCAGGCAGTCCTTACGACATCCACGCTTGGTTGAAACTGATTCGGAGACGACGGCGATCACGTTCGTAGTTTAGCTTGCACCAGTGTCAGGGTCGCAGGGATAAGGGCTAGCCGAACCAGCCGGAGATGAGATTCTCAAGGCGCCCGGCGAGTCGTCAGAGAGTGCTGGCTCATCGTGGGGCTGGTTGAACAGGAATGCTAGGACCATGCTCACTGGAGTAGCGGAAACATGAGTTTGTAGTCGAAGGTAAGAGCTTAAGTGTGTTTGATATTGCGTTCTATGCGAGGACGGATCCCTCGGTTTGTAAGAACACGAGGATGCCACCATACAGCCAACAAGCGTTTAGTATGTCTGTGAGCCGTTCTTTGCTCAAACAGCCGGGTCGGGCCGCCACAACCACCAGAGGTGGAGACGTAGTAAACCAGGATACTGCTGCTGTACTGCAGAACTTATCAGCATACAGTTGTCAAAATAGCACATTTTTCGCCGAACCGCACCAATTCACTCAAATCTCCCATTTAACTTCCCCAAATAACCATTAACCACCCCATTAATTTAAAATCGACTCAATTTTAAGCTAAATTATATTACGTCATCGTTTAAAAAATCCTGAGATTTTAACCACCTCTGTATGCTACACCCCGTCTCCCTAAAACAAATATGGTATTTTTAAACAGTGATCTCAGCCATCGCCATTTTGTAGGCCACCAGATAAAAGGATTTCCACGTTTCATTAAAACAACTCTCGGCGTTACTGTCTTTAAAATGTACTGTTTTCAATTTTTCATCTAATTAAATTGGACTATCGTAATTTGGGCTAATGATCTTAATGTTCATAAACTTAGTTTTTTTTTGTTTTGGCTCTAGTGTAAAAGATTATTAGAGGAATCTTTACCCCTAGCCCATTCCAAGAAACATAGATACTCCTCTAAAAAGTAAATATGAGTATAAATACCAGTCGTAAAAACAATAAATGAGGGTATCACATCGTAATAGGGGGTACGTCCCCAATAAAGTAAGTGACCAACGAGCAACATGCATGCTTACTATTGGCTACTATATTATCGTACGTAACAGAGGTAGAAGTTTCGAGCGACACGCATGGAATTTAAAAAATTACATTTTAGTATTATCAAGTTTTGCGTTTCCACTGCTTTCAGTCGGTATTTTATATAGATAATAATACGGAGCCCGAAAAACGTTCCCAAAAGCTCTAAAAGTGCTCTAATTGTACTAATTGATACTAATTGATACTGATATTAGTTAAGTGTAGAACATGCGATAGCGGCCTTCCAACTGAGGCGAGCGGGTGCGAAGTCGCGTAGCCGCAACCCGCGCATGGGGTGCCCGCGAAGCAGGGCCGCGCGGTATTTGCGGAGGCGGGCCCAGCGCCGAGCTCACCAGCGAGCCGAGGATTGCACTCTCCAGACATACAATCTCTAAATCGCGAGCGAAGGGTTCCGCGGGGGGCGCCCGGCTGGTCATTACTATCGCTACATGTAATTGATAATACAAGCGGGTCCGGCGAAGACAATGTACTGTCGGAATAATTAACAAGAAAAACTAAGATATAGTGTGAAACCAGATTAGGACGTTTTAGAGCACATTTAGATACGTTTTTACCAGCACCATTAATACCTGTTCTTGAAAGCTTTACTTAATTGTACATGTATTAAAAAATTCTCCTCGCTTAAACACATACTCATTTTTAGCGGAGGCTGTATTTTGAAACTATATACAGTAGTGTTAAAAGACTTCGTAATCTTACCCAAGCATGCATGTTCATGTAGATTAGATGGGGGGAGGTAAGCTAAGAGCGTATTCTGTGGTTCTCATGTGTGCAATCAGAATGAGCGATAGTAAACCCGAGCGGCAAGTCCCTCCTGGGATCTCGTGGCTCTGTCCCCCAGTTGATGTCGAGTGGCATGAGAGCTGGGATGCCTTTCGCAAATACATGGAGCGCTACCAAGAGGAGACACACCAGATCTTTCCATAGCGCACGTCCACGTCGGTTCAAAAGAGAAATCGAGAAATTAAGGCGCGAGCAAACCTGAGTGTTAATGCGAAGGACCCAGATGATTCCGGCACGACTAACACAGTTACTGATGAGACGTCGGATCGATTGATCCCTGAGGAGTTCGGAAATTTCTGGATTAAGTTGGTCTGCACTCACGGGTGGAAGCGCAAGAGCCGTGGAAAGGGGATACGAAGGTCGTTTTTCGAGAAGACTACAGGCTGTAAGGCAAACATTAAGGCTGCTGTCGTATGGAACGATGAACACGACACGTTCATGGTACGCGTCACTGACTTTGACGTCAGACACAACCACAATGTGTCTCGCGCTACATTTGAGAACCATGTGTCGAACCGTCGCGTGGAGGATCCGGACATACTGGCATTCGTGGATGAACTCCAAGCTGCTGGTTTTAAGCCGAAGCTAATTATGCAGTTCCTGCGAAAGAAGACAGGTGGGTGCGCTTAACTCAACCCCGAATTATATATAGTGACTGATAGCTTTCTTGTTTTGGACTCCATGTAGGAAAAAATGTGGTGCTTCGAGATGTACACAACATGGTGGCGAGGATGAAGGAGAGACGAAGGGGAGGTGCGACTACTGAAGAGCGGCTGGAGACTGTCTTGCGAGGGATTTGCGAATGTCGTGGAAACCGAGTAACCGTTTACGTCGACGAATCCAAAACTGCACAGACCATCGCGTTGCAGACGAGACAAATGCGGCGCTGGTTCAAGGCTTTTCCTGAAGTGATGCTCATTGACGCGACGCATAACACCAACGAATCGCGCTACAAGCTCTTCTCGTTCATGGTTAACGATGTGTACGGACATGTAAGTAAATGTACCTGACGTTACATCCTATGTGCCTCTAGTTACACTTTTACTGTTTGCGTAGCTTCAGCTACAACATGTACTTGATATGTACAAATTCTTACTTATGAGTTGTTAACGTAATGCTAGGGTCAATACGTACACCACAGTCTCATGGAGAACGAAAGTGCAGAGTGTCTTTCAGATGCTATCGGGTCGTTCAAGTTTAACAACTCTTCGTGGGAGCAAGTCAGGATAATTGTGATTGACAAGGACATGGGTGAATTGAGATTACTAGAAATGGAGTTCCCTGGCGTGAAAGTGATTCTGTGTCCCTTCCATTTGAAGAAGTATATTCGGACCGAGCTGGCAAAGAGCGAGTATGGAGGCCCGTCCAGCTTCGACAAAGACCAAGTTGAAGATGCTATCGATATGATGCGGCTGGCGGTTTCTACGGATGAGTACGTTAAGTATCTGAAGTATCTATACTTCTTGCTGGAAGGTGTTCGTCTTAAACGTGAAGACCCTGTACCTGTGCCTACGCATCCATTTTTGAAGTACTTCATGAAGAACTGATTTTCATTGAAAAAACGATGGGCGCTGTACGCACGTTCGGATGTTCCACATCTAGGCAATCACACCAATAATAGGTACAATTTCTTGCGCTATAGGTTCTAGACTCACCTTTAACTGTGTTTTTGCCTGGTGGTTTGGTGGTCTGTAGGCTTGAAACATCATGGGGTCATATCAAAGAGGTTCTGAAGCCGGAGATGGCGCTGGATGAGTGCGTAGATACGCTGATGCTCTTGCAAGCAGTAGCAGAGATGGAGTACGGAAAGAAAATTACAGACGTGGGCCAGATGCGTTATGATGGTGCAGATCACGAGCTTGAACAGCTAGCGCGCGAAGTCAGCGCGTATGCGTACCGGCTTGTTGAAGAGCAGTATTGGGCGTCTAAGGATCGCAAGACAAGTTACGGCGTGGAGGAAATACATTCCAGCCTGTTTGTCCTGACTGGAGGTGGCGACACCAGTACATGCTATCATGTCGACATACGGTAAGTTCGTCACCCGTTCTGGCCCGTGTAAACCCTAACGTACGTCGCTGTTATTGCGTGCCTTTAGAGATATCACTGCTCATGTGTATTCATGAAGACGATGTTGCTTCCATGCCGGCACGTCATGTATTGGCGTCTTTTACGTGGAAAACAGGCAATTCTTATTCGGTACATTGCACCCCGTTGGAGGTAGTCGTGCAAGCTGAATCAACCTGCGCCAGAAGAAGACGTACCAGACAAAACAGTTGCGTGCACAGCCTTCCAAGTCCGTGACTCTGCTATGACAGCAAGGCGCCATCACGTTTTAAATGGGACGACGAAGTACAAGCACGCTCTTGAGTGTGGAAAGAGTATTGCAGACATTATGAGCAGGAACGGAACGCTTGTATTTGGAGAAATGATGAACGCCTTGGAGAAATTTGAAGACATTATCAAGGACGGTGTTGCACCATTTGTTGGTCGAGAAGGTGAATGGGTAGACCCGCTTTCACAGCTATCTTCGCTGACATTTTCGCCTACGTTAAATACCAATGCTGTTGAACCAAAGGATGCTGTGATGAAAAGCGATACGGAAGATGAAGAAAAAAACAAGAACACTTCCACAGCGAACGCGGACGATGACGAACCTCCGACTCAACAGAGCGCACCTCTAGCTACAATGCAATGTGCTACAGCTACAATGCAAGAGCCTACAGTTACACCGTGTGTGACTAGAGGTACTTCCCACGTGACTTTGACCCCTCCTGCTACACAAGAACCACTGTGTGTAGCTAGAGGCAATTCCTGTGTGACTTTAACCACCCCAGAGGTGGATGCAGCAAGTATGTCTGATTTCAAACAAAATCCAAGCCAGTCCAAGCGCCAGCACATTAGCAGCAGTTCGTCAGAATCCTCGCAGTCTGGGTCATTTGTGATAACAAAGAGCGCAAAACGTCGGGGACGTCCCCAAGTCAGAAAGAAGCAAGGAAAAGCAGAAAAGAAGCAGAGGATCGAGAATAGCAAGAAGAAGGCTTCCAAGTTGGTACAAGGGACACTGGCACCAGTTCCAAGCGTACGGAACATTGCTAAACTGGTGGACAACAACTACAACTATGAAGACGCCAAGAAGGTGCTACCCAATCTCACTATTCGAGCTGTTCCAAAGACCAAGAAGGCGAATGCTGGTATTTATCTTGCAGATGAGTGCATCTGTGACGTCAGATTTGGGTTTCCAAAACAATTTGTGGAAAAATGCCTGGCTGCGGTCGCAGCGTTTCGAAAAGGCTTGATTGAAACTGTCGATGACGACACTATTGGTGTAAGAGTTCCTCGCTTTGGGATATTCCAATACCAGGACATTGTCGCGATGGACCGGTGGCACGCCTCCATGCAGTATTTATCTGCCACTGAAGATGCGATTACTTGGGCTGTCAACACTAGCGTCAAGCGCTTGTCTCTACCGGTAAAGATTGATGACGGAGTCAGCAGCGATCCGACAGAACGGTAAGTTATTATCAGGCGGATTCCTATGAGGGTGGCCGCGAGACTTCGTTCGGTAGTGTGCCCTATAACGGACTACTAACGCTTCGATAAAATACGTGGATGGATGATTCATGCATGGGGCATGGGATTGCTCTACTCCAACGAGAACACCCGGATGTTGGCATCGTTAACCCGATCTTCAATCGTTTCCACGATAAAGACGCCCGGCTCAGGGCTATTAATGCAGGCAAGCCTTTCAAGAAAACGAACCAGATCATTCTGTTGCCGCTACACATAGACAAACAACCACTGGGGTGGAGCAATTTTCGATTATCGCAGCGAACGTCGAGGAGTCCTGGTGTTCGTCCCTTCCAAGACCCCAAGTCAAAATATTACGCCAAATGCGAAGAACTACTGAAAGACGTGTTTTTAGAAGGTGAAGACAGCTCCATACCCTTGCCGATTCAGAGAGTTACGAATGTACGCCAGCCGGACTTCTCAAGCTGTGGAGCAGCTGTTTTACTATTCTTTGAGTGCTACCTCACCGGCATCGATATGCCGGAAAAGCTCAGCCATGCCTCAATGCGTTTTTTCAGGCTTCGGTACATGTTAAAGTGCCTGCAGTAGGCGAGTTAGGAAGTCGATAACATGAAGATAATGTACCCCTGTAGTTCGCATTGTGATGCCTCTGTCTGTTGATTCCAATGTGTGCGTGCTGCGGTGATACTGTTGAGCTGCGTAAAGTGAAAGATACTGGTCATGGTCTGCTCTACTCTAGCAGTACTCGTCAGGCAAATTCTTACTAAGTGCTTCGTACCTTCGGGTGACATTCATGCATTCCAGTTACATTACAGCAACACTTCATGCTACCAGTCGCGTGACTGGCTGTCGTCGCAAGCACCGATATCTCTAAAAATGATGAATTTTTTAATCTGTTAAAATTAAATTACCGTAATATATTTTCGCGTAGTACCTTTAGTACGTATCTCGGGACCAATTAACACGAAGTGGCTCGAGTCACTCACACAGTGTAACCCTAACATTCGCTTAAGTACGAGCTACTCGGTACCTCTAACATTGATCTAAAAAAATATATTAGTAGCTCAGTTAATAAGGCAATGATATTTTACAGATAATACCGGTC